TACATGATATAAACTTAAGATACATTTACATGCATTGTGTAACATCATTCAGCATACTGTAAAAATTGATGACAACAAAACTTTCTTTGTAGAGTCATTGCCTGTGTCTAGTTACGAAAATAAATCTCCAATTTCACCCAGGTTGTTTAAGGAGAAGAATATAATTATAATTATGTTCCTTCTGATATGATAAATTCTGAGACAAACAGACTACCAGGTTACAATATAGATGTAAGTGGATGTAAATCAAATAAAATTTGATGTGCAAACTTGCGAGACTTTAAAGATTTGTTTGTTTGATTGGGTTTTACGTCACACCGACACAGTATAGGTCATTTGGGGACAATCCAGCTTTACTGGTGGAGGAAGACCTCAGGTGCCCTTCTGTGCATTATTTCAGGCATGATCGGGCACCTGAGTTACTAAGAACCACGAATGTTCCATAAGCTAGCTAGATTATATATTAAGCTTCAATCAGACACATGAAAGAATCCAAAGTCCCTGTAGGGATTCAAATCCACAGCGGTAAGGGGCAAGTGGTTTGAAGTCAACGACCTTAACCAATCGGCCACGGATGCCCCGCGAGACTTTAAAGACAGCAATGAAATATTATAGGTGTAATAATATGTATGACAGTTTTGTTATAGGACAATGACAGTACTAGTATACATAAAGTGATATACTTAACATGTATATCTGTGAATATCACCAAATTTATCTAATATATATATATATAGTGATGTTGATCATTATAAATAAAAGTGGTCGAAACTGTAACATATTGACATAATATACTAAAATGTTAAGATGCATGAATGAACTGCATTAATTTAAAGAATAAAGTAAAGAATAAGATTGGTACATTAACTACAAAGTGGACTCTTGATCATTTATAAGGAGTCAAAAGATTATGACAAAGATTTCCACAACTACAGTGATGAAAATAAAAATTGCAGAAGGTGAACTCGATCTTAATTCAGCTGTTAATTGTGGAAGAAAGTGAAAACAGTTTTGAAGAAAAAATATGTGTAGGATATAATATACTGTTTTATACGGTTCTCTCTCCTGCATTGTCTTCTGTACCAATAATCAATATTTTCCCAGTTTATTTAATAGATGGTGCATCTTTTACGACCCGATCTCTTTGTTATCATTTTCAACAATTGTTCCGGCAAGTTTCGAACATTTATTCTGATGATATTCTCAAAAAAAAATAATAAAAAAATAAATAAATACCCCCCCACCCCAAAGAACCCAACTAACTTAATAAAACACAAATAATAACAACTACCACCACCAATATTGATCATCTTATTTACTTGTTGCAGTAGTTTTTCCATTTATTTTCTCGCGCAGTGGTTGCACGTAATTGCTGTTTCTGTGACTGCATGCGCTTGAGTTTCTTGTATGACTGATTGAGTGCTAGAGAACCTGTACGAAAAAGTCTGGGCAGAATGCAGACAGAATCTGTACAGACTTTATTTAGAAAACTCTGTACAGAGTCTGTACAGAAAAAAAATCTGGTTAAATGAAACAAAGTTGAACCAGAATTCTATTAATAGATTTTAGCAATAAGGATAAAGAACGAAATCTGTACAGATTTTTTCTGAAATATTTAAATTAAGCCGATTATTTTCTGGGCAGAAAAAAGTCTGGGCAGAAAAAAAAAATCTGGGCAGAAAAAAAATCTGGGCTTCTTCATATTCTGTACAGAATTAACCCTGTCCATAGGAAATATCTGAAAGGGAATTCTGCACAGAAAAAAATCTGTACAGAAAATATTCTGTACAGATTTTCGTTTTTTTGGCTAAAAACAAATTCAATTTTCCTTTTGAACATTTCTTATTTATAAATTTCAATTAACAATTTTATTCATTTCTTTCCTGGAGTGGTCTATCCAATGAGTAATAGCCTTGTTGAGGGCGCTGTCCTCAGGAATTGGCTTGTCTCTGTCTTTGCACCACACACACATCCTGACATAATCTAGAGTAAAAAAAAGGAATTTGAATTATGTTCATTCTTTTATTAAATGATATGCAAAATTTGTAAAATATTTCAATGTGTATATAAAACAGTTAAAATTGTATCCCTATATAACCTTAAGTTTTTTTGCACCAAGTAACATCAAAGTCACTGACTAATAAAACTGTTTACATATATCAATCTTTGACCAAAGCTTGTACATGTTACAAATCTACACAGTCATGTAAATTGCAACAAAACTTAAAATAGGAGAGATTTACAAGAGGCCAATATTCTAAAAATAGAATTGCTGATAAGCACTGACCATAACAACTGTTGTTGGTTATACATTCTACACAATTTCCGGGAGTTTTGAATTGATTAATTTAAACTAAATGAATCAAATTATAGAATAGCAAAACAAAAAGCTAAACTATTTATTGCATAATAGAGCAAGAAATTAAAAAAAAATAGATCTTGACCTATCAACTGATCAAAAAGCAATTTATGAACTAATAATTTCACTGGCCCAGCTTTGACCTCAGTGCATTAATTTTATACTCATTAGACCTCAAATCAGAGTAAATTTAACTAAATATAGATAATTCATAGACTATTAAAAGATGTATAAATAATTTCTTTTATTTACAGTGGAAGGTATAACCAAATAATTCAAAGAAAAATTCAAAGAAAACATTGCAAAATCTTACCTCTGGTTTTGATTATAATTCCATCATAATTCCTCTTTGGCCCCTAAATCTGAGAATTTCAAGTCTCTACATGATTGCTCTTCACAACAACTAACTTGTTAACTAATCATTAGAAAAATAAACTAAACAAAACATATTAATCTTTGCCAATGTTTTAATCTTTGCCAATGTGAAGACACTTTGTGTAATAAAACCTCGTGTGGCAGTCTGAGAGATTTGAATTGACCAACAGGGGTTACATGGGGGTTACACCTGATATTACAGAATATCTATCTACCACTCTGAGATAAACTCAGAGTGAAATTCTGGCTAGAAAAGTAAATTCTGTCTCAAGATATATCTAAGTGTTAAAATTCTGTGTGTCTATGTAAATTCTGCCTCAATTTTTTTTCTAAGTAGTGAAATTCTGTCTTGTAAAAATAACTAAGAGCAAACTACCTGTGTGAAAATTTTTCTGTACAGAAAATTTTTTGATTCTGTTTTATTCTGCACGGAAAATCACCTATTTCCTAGGCCGATTCTGTGTCCAATTCTGTGTCGGTGTCAACTCTGTACAGAAAAATGAAAATCTGCCTCTATAACAACCAGAGTTGGTACAGAGTCTGTACAGAATTGGCTCAGAATTTTCGTACAGGCAATTCTTTTGTGATCGCGGGAGAGTGTTTTCCAATTGTAACATTTTATGGATATGTTGCACACGATCATACTATAGATTTGAAAATTAATGCATCGAAACCTTTGAAAATTATGTACAATTTGTAGAATATACAATTTAGATTTAAAACAAGGCAGGTTAGAATTAAAGTATATAATATGAAATATGTGTCTCTTGCTACAGTTTTAGAGTTAATTCTGATAGCCTTTAATTATAATCAGTATAATCAATTTATTATCAAACTTCTTTTAAGTTGTAATTGTCAGTTTGAATTAGAACATGATGATGCACGCGTGCAGGTAGCAAAAATTAGAAGGGGAAACTATCTTTAAACGTCTGTGAGACTTAAACTGCAGCTTAAGCTTAGTTTGTCCGGAGATGTGGAACTTTTAATTCATTTCAGTCACTGTGGCACATGTATAGTCACTGTGTCACACAAACTGCACAACTTTTTCACCCTGTGACATAACATATTATACATAATAATACCAGTTTGATGGAATGTCAATATTAAAACACTGTGTGAGCAGAACCAAACATATTGCATGGAGCCTCAGGTCAGACTGCTAAAATTTGGAAGTAAGTCAGGCTTTGCTCTGTAACTACCCAATTATATAAAAGAAATGGTCGCTAAATGCAGGACATTTAAATTAAAATTTTGACATGTAGTTCCTCCTTACAGTCCTTTTCAACAGCCTCCAAAATATATTCTTTACCATGAAGAAGGGTAGTGCATATATCCAAAACTAGTAGGTTTTTAATAAAATTTGTTAGGACGTTGTTGTGTGCTCCTCTTATATTAGTTTAATTAAACTTTTATATGAATCAAAATTTTCATTCCTTTAATTTTAAGTCTGCTTTATATTAAGGATACATGGAATTCAACTTCACTTAATGTCCCCAGAGTTTTTGAGTTGACATTGTTAATCATCATAATACAAATGTTTATATGCATTGATTTAAAGTATTTTCCCAAGAAAAATAGGAATTAACTAACAATAAAACATGATTTATATTCTCTGGCGGGCATTTAAATTTTCATTTTATATGATAATGAATGTGTATTATTGATTAATGAAAATCAAGAGAAAAAAATGAAATGGAAAACTTAAATCCTGACTGGTAGTTTGAAATATTTGCTATTTTTTTGAGTTCAGTTGACAAGACATTGCGTGTGTTCTGTTAGATTCATACCCCATACACCCAAGGACCCTTGCATTTATATTTCCGATTTTGCTCAATTGTATCAGCTACTGATCATTTTGATCAACAGAAAAGAAAATGAACCCAACTACACTCCGTGCACTTTGAAGAATGTGCAAATATGTATCTGTGATCTGCAGTTTTTCAGTGCACAAAAGAACTATTTTTCTGTTTTATCTTTTTTTTCTTTTCATTTGAATAACTGCAGAAATCTCAAGTATTGTAATTAAGTAAATATGAAGAAACAGTTGTAAAATGTATTTTAAGTGGGCAAAGAACATGCAACATAGTCCCAGCAAAAAAAATGTCATTCTGAGAAAGATTTTCTTTGCCTTCAAACCTTTATGCTATGAAATTGTTAAGAGTTATGTTTCTTGAATATGATTTGGTAGACATTATGCTTTTGATCATGTAACAATCAATGGTTGTAGCTTGTTCAAATAAATATTTAAATTCTTTATTCTTTTCAGGCAAGTTGCTGGCACTTGCAAGACACAGATTAAACAGCACAACCTCTAAACTTACTGACTGGTATTCGATGCCCGTCACAGACCATAGCCCAGTTGTGACAAATTTATTTAACAACATTGAAGAGTTTGTAAAACTTAAACATGTGATATTGAAAAACAGCATTTCAACATTTTTCGATATGCTGTTCCCTGTGATCTTTAAAAATATGATTAAACAAAGTCTGCCCGAAGCCTGGACACATCATTTCGATCATTGCTTAGCGAAACATAGGCAAGAGTTGCGACCCTTTGGAAAATACCCAGACGATATTGCAAAGAAATTGAATCATGGGCTGTCGTTAGCGAGAGCGTACCTTGAAGCATTAAACATTGTAATGGAAACAATTAACACCACAGACAATGTTTTGATTGAGGACGAATGTAAGCATGCCGTAACTCGGTTACAATACTGTAAGCACTGTCATGGATTCGTGGATGTTAAACCATGTAAAGGATTCTGTTTAGACGTTATGCGTGGATGTTTGTCTAAACTAAGTGAGATTGGACCCGAGTGGAGTTTTATTATTTCATCAGTGGAGGATTTAGTTCGTGAAATGAGCGGGAAGAGTATCGATGAGGTATTTAAAGAGTTTGAATCTGGGATAAACGACGCTATATTACATTCAACGTTATTGGCTCCTAATTATTACAAACGTGTAAGTATATCATAATTTCTTAATCAGGTCAATTATTTTTAAAGTCAGATAACTTGTTGATAAACAGATTTGGTATGGCAAGGATAGCAGTGGTCCGAATGATCACAATTTGAATAGAGTTTTGATTGGTTTTGGTTTAATGTAACACTGAAAAATGTGGAGCGTGATGTCCTAGGACAGGTCTAGTTTACAGATCAATATGAATGTACAGTGTATGTCTGAAACTAAATTATGCGATGGTCATTTAAAACCACCAACCCACTTCTTACAAAATTAGTTTTTATCAAGTTTGCTCTTATATACATGTATAAAGGGTCTAAAGTGTATTATCAAAATTTTGTTATCAAATAATCCCAAATTACCTCTACTATGAAAGTCATCTTTATCAATTTAAGCTGGCAATCATTTTGCACCTATTGAAAAGTATGTGCATTCTCACTTTGATACGATACTGAGGAAATTCATTTGAAAGTTTTTATCAACAATATTTGAAATAACAAACCATTCATTTTTGCACGTATTGCATTCCTGAAGTGATAGCATTGCTTTAAGTTCTTTTTCTTTTTTTTCTTATCATCTGCGTTATTCAAACATACAACCAAACTCTCACTCATTCATAAAATTTATTAAAATTTCATTGAAGATCGTATCTTGCGAATGTAAGACTGTCTTGATAGATTTATTGCACAGGTTGGCGACAGTTGTTCGGTATGTTTGTTTGCTTTACCGCAACATAAAAGCTGAATTAGATGCAGGTTTTACTTCAAGTGTTAGTTTGTTTTTTGATAATAGATTTATGATAAGCGGCCTCGCTAAATTTTTTGCCTTGTTTTTCCAAGTTTGTTTTCATTCATATTGGGCAGGGTTGTCATTCAATGTCTTTGTAGGTTGTATGATGTCATATCTTGGCAAATATGAAACAAAAGATCATAAAATTTAACCAGTTTAGATCTAAAAAACTTAATAGAAACAAAATTGTCTTTTGTTTGTTAGGTACAAAATAAATTTTGTGCAGATTTACATGTTTTAAAATTATTATGGGAAGTAAGTATCGGAAAGGCTTAATGAGAAATAATATAGAAATGATAAATTTTTGTTTACTGATTATTGTATATTAAGCTAGGCTGTGGGAATTATTTCAGTGAAAGTAAGGAACCAATTTTACAAAATCCAGCAGTATTACATAATTATATATAATTATATATATTCTCCATTTTTGAGGTGTGAGAATCATTTCAGTGAAAATGGAGGAACCAGTTGTACATATGCAGATTACCTTAAGTGTACGTCAGCTATGCATTAGCTTACACATTTTCTCCCCTGTAAGTGACAGTTAGTGTTAACTTTAGTACTGTGACACAATTAAAATAGACGTGACATTTAGTTGAATAATGCTAGTTGAATAATGCGCTTTTACATCTAGAATTTAAAGATGGTGTCATTTCACATTCTCTAAATTCTATGAAAAAAGAAACATGGAACTACGAAAATACAACAACCACACAACAACACTTGTGTTTCTGTGTGTGATGAACATTGCCAAGTTCTAATATGCTTATCGAAACCAGAACACTACTCATTGATGAAATAGCGTCTAAAATAGATTCCCTTTTCAATGCCTTTGATTAAAGGGTTATTTCCTGAAATATTTCAACCAGTTGTAATGGCATGTCAACATTCTTTCATTATCTGCAAATGTTTTTTGTTCTGTTTCCATGGCAATGCAGTAAATTAATTAATGAGGCTATACGTTTTTGTCCCAGGAGTGAATTATGAGTTATTATATTTGATATAGTCACTGAGTTAATGCAGCTTTGAGAGCACTACAAGTCCATCATGTCTCTCAGCATTTTGCTGTATTCTGATATTTCAAATGATCAACAAGGTTTGGGATGTCTCTTGATATATATACTAGATCGGTTTTTCAGTGGGGTCTAATATTATCCAATATTATAAATATTAATAATGTTAATGTGACACCGAAGATTTATCCCCCACCCTCTCTCTTTTCAGTCAGTACATTTTTCAGTCAGTACAATATTTTTATCATTTTTCAGTCAGTACAATATTTTTATCATTTTTCAGTCAGTACAATATTTTGATCATTTTTCAGTCAATGCAATATTTTGATCATTTTTCAGTCAGTTTAATATTTTGATCATTTTTCAGTCAGAACAATATTTTGATCATTTTTCAGTCAGTACAATATTTTGATCATTTTTCAGTCAATACAATATTTTGATCATTTTTCAGTCAATACAATATTTTGATTATTTTTCAGTCAATACAATATTTTGATCATTTTTCAGTCAAAACAATATTTTGATCATTTTTCAGTCAGTACAATATTTTGATAATTTTTCAGTCAATACAATATTTTGATCACTTTTCAGTCAGTACAATATAATGAAAAAATGATGAATGGTTTTGTCCAGATTGAAAGATGGGCAAGTCCATTTAAGATTTATAGGGTAGTAAGGGTTAATGCACTGACAAAAAAAAAATTAAGCCTGCAGTTAGAGATATTGTCTATAGAAACTTCACTTTTTCATAACTTTTCGAAAGGGCTTTGCACCAATGAATTAATTTTACAAATAAAGTCTTTATATGATGGATTTCATTGACATAAAACAAACAGACATAAACATGCTATATGTCATTTATAGTGCATTCTGTCAGTGTTATAACAGAAATCTTTTATCTTTGCTGTATTATTTATTGGTTTAAATGATTTAAAAGCACTTGTATTTGAAGCATAATGAAATGAAAAAAGACTTTGATTTGAGGAGTAGGCCATCTTAAGTGCTTGAAATACAGCAAGAAATGAACTATTTATTGAAAAAAGACAAATTTAATTTTTTGAAAATTTTCAAAAATCTTAAAGATCCTGTATGTTTTGTGATTGATATTTTTACTGTATGAATACCACACTAGCAAAAAATTATATATGTACATATTTATGCAAAAAAAACAATTTTCAAACATTGAAGAATATGTAAAATGTGTACTGCAAATATTTGTGCACATTATATTTAATCAATAAATTACAGGCATTCATTTCTTATTGGAAAATTTGACTTAGAATTTATAGAAAATATATTTCTAATTACCTCCCTTTATTTACATGAAATGTTAAATTGGGTAATATCTTTATAAATAATGCTTATTGGAACTTACAATATTGACAAATCTTAATTTGAGCATCATATTTATGAAATAAAACCATGAAAAAATTGTGTTACAGGATCTTTAAGATAATTTGATTTAGAAATTAATTTAGTATTTCAAATTTAGTTTGCATGATTTTATGTAAGATTGTAGCAGGTACTTTTGTATCATAATAAGTCATGTTTAAGACATGAAATTTAAAACTAAAATATTAAAATTGAAAAGATATGGTAGATACTGATTTTAATATTCTGTACTGTATTTTAATGTAAACATTTTGCTATAAAATATGTTTCAAGTTAAAAAGATCATACTTAAAATTCAACAAACAAAATCCCAATATACTTTATATATCTTTTATGAACTAGTCTGTATTACAGAAAAGCTTTGAAATATCGAGATATATGTACATTAAATCATTTTTTGAATAGTTTTTCAACTTTGAAATGGGTTTCAAGCGTGACTTGTTACATATTAAAGTGATAATAAATTGAAAAATGCAGATTTATTTTTCAACTCCCAACCTCATGCAGTCATCCAGATTAATAAAGGATGCACTCACTGTTGCTCATACTGTCGCATAATAGTTATACACTGTGGTAATCTGAAGGGACATACTGTTACATAATAGTTATACACTGTGGTAATCTAAAGGCACACACTGTCATGTAATAGTTATACACTGTGGTAATCTAAAGGCACACACTGTGGCAATTCAGGCACACAGGCTGTCACATAACGGCTATAGTCAATGTGGCACTCTAGGCACACAGGCTATCACATAATGGCTATAGTCAGTGTGGCAATCTAGGCACACAGGCTGTCACATAATGGCTATAGTCAGTGTGGCAATTCAGGCACACAAGCTGTCACTTAATTGCTATAGTAGATAGTGTGGCAATCTAGGCACACAGGCTGTCACATAATGGCTATAGTCAGTGTGGCAATTTAGGCACACAAGCTGTCACATAATGGCTATAGTCAGTGTGGCAATCTAGGCACACAAGCTGTCACATAATGGCTATAGTCAGTGTGGCAATTTAGGCACACAAGCTGTCACATAATGGCTATAGTCAGTGTGGCAATCTAGGCACACAGGCTGTCACATAATGGCTATAGTCAGTGTGGCAATCTAGGCACACAGGCTGTCACATAATGGCTATTATAAGTCAGTGTGGCAATTCAGGCACACTGTCACATAATGGCTGTACACTTAACTTTGATCTTGGTCTGCTTTGGTCACATGGTAAGCATGTGGTAGCAAGCCATGAACTGAACAAAATGAATAATTGTAAACATTGTTAATTTAAGACCTTGACATATTTATTTTTCTTACCTTCAGATGTAAACCTTCACTTTTATATAACAAATTAATGTTACATTAATATATTCAGTGACAATCAAGCTATTAAATGTTATGAGAATGCATTTAATGGAGGAAAAAATATGTTACATAAAATATTATGTGCATAATTAAAGCAATTTATAAGGTGCAAACATGACATTGAATATTTTATGTGTACACTAATTTACTCTTTAGAATCATGCCTGTTCTCTAAGTACACGTCCTGTTGTATTTAAAATGTATTATTTAGATTTAATTATCAAATTAATGCAATGACATGATTATATTTTTCAGACTCAAATTTTCATTAGCTTTGTGCAATAAGGCAAAAATTAAATAAGCCAGCCTGCATAAATAGCATGCACATGGCATGCACAGACGTACTGTACGATAGCAGGCACAGACTAAGTGTACAATAGTAGACACAGATTTACTGTACAATAGCATGCACAGACTTACTGTACAATAGCATGTACAGACTTACTGT